GTTAAACTTAAGATACGTAATTTGAATAACTAACTTACAGAAATAATGGAGACTGAATTTGTGATGACGTCAGAGGTCATGTGAACATATGTAAGTATAAAAACCACACAAAAATCACGTGATCTTTGACGTCATGTGATACTTTTGGAGATTTTCAATTCTTCTCCTGCTAATTTAGTTGAACAATTTCTGGAAAATCTGATAGAAGCACCAATCACAGAACATCATGTGCAAAGCACTGCTTGTGAAAAATCCATGATAAGCAGTAGAGGAAAATTGTTTCTTCAGTCAGGTGTTTGAACGTGCTAACAAAAAAACTGTACGTGATTTGGTAAAAAAAAAAAAAAAAAAAAAAAAAAAAAAAAAAAAAAATGAGAAAAGTGGATGCACATGTGATAGACCGCGATTCGATGACAATGTCTTCCAACTGGAGTTGTTGCGGAAGCGCACATTACAATTACTGCAGTCTTTTCCATACAACAAGAAGTGTTGCCCGCAATTTGGATGTACCGAAAACCACAATTATGAAGCTCTGCGATATGTTCTGCGGATGTTTTCTTATCGGTTCCAGTGTCTTTAGATGTTGCAACCTAGAGACGAGCAATAACGTGTCGAATTTGCCAACTTCTTCCTCTATGTTGAATATAGCAGGTGGGCCGCTGCGGATATTATGGGCGGATGAGACGCATTTCTCCTTACCCGAGAACGTAAACTACCAAGAACTGCGTTTATTGGACTGACGAAAATCCTCACAATGTGGCACCAGCGCCTTTACACGAAGCTAAAGCGACCGTGTGGTACTATCTCAAGCAAATTTGTTCCCGGTCCATACTTCTTCGAAGAATCACTTCCACAGACATGAAATCCATCACAGGTGCTCGGTATACAACAATGTTGCACAATTATGTAATTCCAGCAGAGAAATATCGTTAATGACAACGCATGGATGCAAGAAGGTGCTCCTCCACACGTCACCCATGTGTCCAGCAAGTGCTGCAACAGCATTTTGGAAATTGCATCATCTCCCGAAACTTTGTAGTTTCGAAGCCATTGCGATCCCCGACTTCACTTCGATAGATTCCTGGTTTTGAGATTATCTAAAATCTAAGATACACACATAAAATCCACGAGATTTGTCAGAAAACGTGAAAGTATACAGATTCGTCATTCTGTTGATACGTTCATCATTGTTGTCAACAATCTTCTGCATGCAATACATTACCGTCTGCTTAGGTGGCGACATTGAAAACTTGTAATTCCAATAAAAGTTTCTCCCCCCCCCTCTGCTCTCCTGTGTTGTCAATGATCTTTACAATTATCTTCTTTGCAGATGCTTTACACCGGCAAAAGTCTTTTATGACCAACCTACACAGTATTTACACCGCGTATATATATCTTACACTAGAATCTTATTTATATCATTGTACATCTTAATACACACATTAAATACTTGGCATAATTTTGCTACCATTATCGTATACATATACTTCCAGTCATAGAAATGTTTTATGTTATGCAGATTCTTATTTTAGCATCTGTAAATTTTAAAATGAGTTTAATAAAAATTACAAAATATAGCATTTCACGCGGTCTCCCGGTCCTTATGTTTATATATGTAGGAATATTTTATACTCATTTTGAAAAAAAAATACAAAAACTGTTATTACCGTACAACAAATTAAAATAAAATTTGAAATTACTCGTACATTCAGAGGCAGTACGCCAGTTGACGAGCGAAATGTTTACATTTGTAAACAAAAATTTTTATTTAGAAAATATTTCTGAGCTTAATATATTTAGTGCCGAGTATTTCAATGCAGACCGTAGTAAATAGTATTGATCAATAAAATTTGTGTTTTAAAAAGATTAATGGGCCCGTCAGCGGCCAAGTGATAAATTCGCTGAACACTGGCAGTTCGGTCTGAAGTTCGAATTCCGCGAAGAGGCTAGCTCCATGAAATTTTTCGCGGTTTTCTTCGTATATTACAGTGTATACGAGCCAATTTCAATTATAAAGTCCTCCACAAAGGCATTTCTCTGCCGTAGGCAAATAGCCCTCGAGGCTTTGCCTTAAACACATCAACCAACCAACTGTCTTAAAAAAAAATAAATACAGAATCTTACAAAATTCGTTTTCCAGAAAATGCTGGTAAAGTTTCAGTATTGCCACGTAGCGAACTCTTAACATGATTTGTATAAATCAAAATTTAGAAACATTCTTACTTTAATCAATTTCTCCTGATTAGATTATGATTATAAAAAAATAAAAATTTCATGAGAATATTAACGCATTTTTAGCGCTTGAAATCGTATAAACTATTTGGGTGAAAATCATTTTGGCATAGACGTTGTGCCAAAATTATAAATTAAATAATGTTAACACTTTAGTAAATCACAAAGAAAGAAAACTTAATTACCTTAAATGGAAATAACATCAACCTCGATTTATCCTAATTCATTTTTAACTTAATTTATTTCTGATTTTCGGCCGCTCTAAGATCAATAAAAATTTCAAGCTTTAAAATTAAATATCTCGCTGAATTTTTGTAAAACGGAAATCAAACCTCGTATGTTTTATTTCTTAGAATAAATATAAATAGTAACTATAACGCGACTAAAGTATGTGAAAAAAGTACACATCACATACATCGGTAGAAATCGTGTGTGCGACGAACCAGAGTATGTGCGAAAAAGTTAAATTTTTTTGCAAAATTGAGTTCTTAAACTTAAAAATGACAAAATATGAATATTTGTTTTACTTAAAACATTTGTATAATTTGAAGTATACATTTAGATTAGCACTTTCGAATATAAAGGGTGATGACACGATTAGCAGTTAGATTAGCAGATGAGAATATAAAGGATGGGTAGTTAGATTAGCAGTTGCGAATATAAAGGGTAGGTAAAAATTTTTGTAGCGACGGGTGCATATTGAAATATTATCATTTTTCATCGTCGAATAATCTTTACTGTTTAAAACATAATTTTCTTTATTTCACTGAGAAAAACAGACAGTGACTATCGTAAGGAAACGGATAGTTTTCGGTTTCTCGAAGCCAAAAACTTAAAGTGTTAGATGCTTTTTTTTCTAATCAGTGGTATCTTTTCCAATGGCATTTTTCGGTCTCGTCTGTAACAGCAGAGTGGTAATAATTTCCTAGGAGTCGCATATTGATGGTTAAATTTGTTTCTCTGACGCGTAACTCAATGCATGAGATATTTTTAATCTTGCAGATTTTATGTACTATGCATAGCTTTATAAGTAAAGCGATCACAAGAACTGAAGCTTCTAAACCAAGGACACAAACCTAATTTATCTACGCAGTAGTGAGTTTCCTTCAGCCACTATGAAAGTGATTATATCTAAAACAATCTCAAATTCTATTAAGCTGTTCCAAAAAGTACCTGTTTTGTGGCACATAACCTTAAAGTGCACAAAGAACGCTCGAAGATTATCTGCTCCAAAAGCAATGCCTTTGTAAGCAACTTCCTAAAGAAGCCCATGTGGTGTTGAATTTATTCACAAAAAATAAGAACGGAATGCATACAACACTTGCACTGCCATGAACTAAACCAAAGAAGAACTACAAATATTCGATAACATTATCTACGTTGACCACCAATCAGTGACGCACACTTGATCCCAACATGCTGGAGGGAAATGAGTCAGTACCCTTCGAAAGTCCATCACGAACGGAATCCAGTCTTCAAATGTTTAGCAAATTGTAGCATTAGGTAAATTATTTACCTTGTTTAATTCTCCCTCGCGTAGAAAAGTCTAAATCTTTTCGAAGACAAGGATCTTATCTATCTCCCTTTGGGATCCACGAATGTACTCTGTCAGCTATGATAAAAGTAATTGCCAAACGGATAAAGAATTCCCTTATTGCACTGTTAGAACAACCATTTAAATTCTAGTATACAATTTCATGGAACTTCAGAAAATACTGTTTAATTGCCAAAGTATAGATAAATTTTGCATTTTAACTTGATTATTCGATGTGTCTGAATGACTTTGAAAAAATTAATTTCAGTGTTTTTTCTATAATGCTAAGTTCATCTTTAATAAGGCAAATAATATTTTAAATAAAGTTAAAAACAGTTAAAAATATAATCCTAACCGCTAAATCTTAATATAAAATTCTTAAATGACACCTCATGTGCAAATGTGGTTTTAGTTCTTTTCACTGCTTCACCACTTAAAAATCATAAATCAACATTAAAATCGTAAAATTGTTACCAAGCTAAATTGATCTTTTACATACTTTATTAAATTTGTTAATTTAGATGTAAAATATTTATTGAATTCTAGATGATAATTATTTAGATTTAGATGAAGTTTTCTGGACTGCGTAAATATGTTTTGAAATTAATAAAAAGAAGAATATATATATACAATATTAAATACGCTTGGGATTTCACAGAAATCATTCTACAGCTGTATTTTTGTAACTTTCGTTTAAATGGTATATAGGCATAATAGTTGATAGAAATATTACGCAAAGATTTCTAAATGAAGACCTATACTATACTACAACATATTCACACGAATAAGGTGTTTTGTTTAAAAAGTAATTAAGCGCTAATTAGCTAGTGCTTGTAATGTTTTTTAAAACGCAATACATTCACACTTCTATGTAATACCTTGTTGGATTATGCAAGAGAAAGTGTTAAAATTTGAACTGCTATGAGAAATGTAAAAAACATAAGTAATAAATTTTGCATGGTAATGATCCATCGCAGGTAGTTTTTCAAGCGATATTTATAATTTATATTACATTCCGCTTGAGTTCTTATAATTAATTTTCATCATTTTAATTATTTTAAACATTTTTAATCATATTTAATTAGACGGTTTTCTGTTGAATTCTGAAATTTGAATGTTTCTGATATTAGAGTTCACTATGCTGAAATAGAAGTTTATTTAGAATATATTAAATTATTAAGTAATAAATTAATCATTTCAAAACAATTAAAACTATCAATAAAAATTAACTAACTTGCTTCACTGATGACACAACTGGCTGCATTTCTGTCGTATAGGCTTCTAAAGATTTGAGCAATTCTTGCAGTTTGTGCCGTGTTCCCGATATCGAATCCGGATTGTCCAGTCCGGAGTCCGGCATTGTGCCGGTAAGTCCGAGTCGCAGAAGCACTGCACACAATACAAACCTCAGAGCATACATTCGGCACCATTCCATACAGCGAAAGCGATCAGGAAGGATTTTCCGGCCATAAAGTCCGGACAAGATCGTCGGGCAGTGTAGTCCGAGCCCGCATCAAAAAGTGATCTTCCTGAATGAAATATCTTTTCGCAACTGCTCGCTACTGCTTTGAGATCCGCTAAGCCATTTTGGCAGATCGGTTCAGCTAAAAAAGAAAGTTTTTGAAGTATCTTCAAATTAGGGTTACTACTTTCGATATTTTATCGCCTTGCTTGGCGAAATTTATTTGTCTAATAAAACCAATAATAACAAAATTATAGTGGGACAACGAGAAAGTGTCATTAGCAGAAAAAAGGCTTTCCTTCAAAGGTGATAATTATATAGGAAGGCTATAATTTAAGTGATATCCAGGGTTTTCTTTTTTTCTTTTCACTTTTTTTATTTTATATCTGTTTCGCTACTTATGTATATAATGAAAAAAGAAAAAATGCATAAAGTTGCATTGGAAACGTAATGACATTTTTTTCGTCTAATAATTATTAAATTTTTTATAATCACATTAACAAAAGGTTGCAAATATTCATTTTATATTAATTCAATATACATTTGCAACACTTTTACAAACCTTAGGCAACAGATTAGGATAATTATGAAAGAGTTTCCAGTAAATTTCATTTCATAATTAAAAAAAAAAGGTATAAAAAATCTGAAAGCTTTCATATTTTATATTACGCCCAAAAAAGCGTCTTTTTTAATGTCTTTTGCGTTACTTTATTTATTAAATATCACGTTTTTCGCACTCAAACCATAACATTAAATTCAACAGCAATATTTCAAATTAGTTTTAAAATGAGCATTTCTTTAGAATTTCTCATATACAGTTTCGTGCGCTATAGATAATGTTTTTTTTTTTTTTTTTTTGGAGGGGGTACAGTGTTGCCATTGCTGGCTTTGAAATCATTTAGTTTACTAATAAAAAATTTGTTAAAGTTTTACAAAATATGAAATATATAGTAAAATTCCAAATTCCAAGTTCGGGCTTCCAGATCCCCATATTCTAAAGGAGGACAACTTATTGAAAATTTGATGTCTCTAGGTACCGTTGCTTTTTCGCAGCGCGAGAAACATACGTACATTCATTCCGATTCTTCATTATTTAATTTCTTCAAATATAGTGCGAGGCTCTAATATTTGGTGGCAACAGTTTGAAAAATGAACCAACGCAAAATGAAACGAAATTAACAGACCTTCTGGGCTAACGTCCTTTCTAATAAAATATATATTTTGTAAAATTTTAATAATACATTACTGTCAACAAAATATATAATTTCTGTTAGGCATTTTATTTGATAGCTACTCAAATAACATTATCAGTAAAGGAATTTGATATTATTTGCATGCCAAAACTTTTTAATAAACATTAATTATCTCAGCTAATATTTTTATCATATAAGAATATTTATATTTATTTTAACTCATATATGTATATTTAGAAAGTGTCTTATTACACAAATATTGTCAGTAAATGCACTGACATATAACATTCACCTTTAAAATTTTTTACATATTTTTAAATAGCATTTTCATTTAGCAATCGTAAAGACGGAAGTATTCGTAGAGTATAATTACGACTTAAAACACAAAATAGTATGCATTATTTATATCATGATCTCAGACCCAAATATTGCAATCTTAGCAGTTTACGAGCAATTCGCAATTTCAAGGGTTAATGTAAGGAAATTCCAAACCGTGAAGGAAATGGATTACAGAAAGCTTTCAACGGAACCCTATTTCATAACGGAAACAAATCCATGCCGAATAAAAAAAATAAATACTTTATGAATATTAAATTATTTATTAATTTTATATTTAGGTAAATCAGCTCAATAAATTTGGATAAATAATATTATATTTATAGTACTTCAGATAGTATCTCATTATGTAAGGATTGAGAACAAATTTCAATTGTTTCGTTGTACTATTATATCAGATATGCATCATTGCTGTCAGATGTGCCCAAGTAAACCAATGTGTAGTTATAACTGTTAAGGGCCTCACCCTGCCAATTGCCTCACCCTTAGAAGTTGCCTCTATGTATCTATATCATGTATGTATTTCTATAACTCGCCGGAGTTATTGTCTTTGCTCAGTTCTGACTGTAAACACAAGATACAATGCAACATGTAAAAGTAGACTTAAAACTTTAATTTCTAATCATTGTAAGAGTAACTTAAAAAGCACAAACTAAATTCTTCTCGACAAAAGCAACTGATTGAAACTTTACAGTAGAGTAACGGCTGTAAATCTATCCAAAGAAACATCTAATTGGGTAGGACAAACCAAGATGAACAAATTTACAACGCTTACTAACCGTAGCGATGCCGAAATTCCACGTCCGTTCTGATCAGCGGCTTTCATTTTTGCAAACAAACAGCAGGGACGGCGACAGTTAGTTGTACTACTCCAAATCGTGCTGGTTATGATTCTTTTTCTCATTCTAACTTCTATGTCTTTGCCATAAAATTTGCATAATCCTCTGGACTGAGTGCATAAATGCCTAAACGGGGCATAAAGGAAAGAATCGATATAAATTTTAATTTTTAGTCAAATTAAATGAAATGTTCACACAGTTATTACTTTTTGCGCAAGGGGTTGTAAGATCTTTAGTAATTGCACGTTCAATTAGTTTTAAAATTTTTTCATAAGAAATAAAAGGGCGAAATGTTTTAGTTACTTTAGTGAAGGGACCAGCGACGTATTACGATTTTCAGAGGCCCCAAGTACTTACAATAATGTACTGGTCATTAAAATTGCAACAACAGGAATGAATGATCTGACGAATGTCAAAATCACATGAAAGGAAGAAGTTGGGATGTGCACATGGGATTAATATTCCAGCGCATTTAGACGATGCAGAAGGGAGAAACGACATCTGAAGAACTGCATAAAAGGAAAGTTGTGTAGTCGATTTATCATTCGGAAAGTACTTTGTAAGGTTGGCATTTGCTCAGCATATCGTAAATGCCTCGAATAAGAAGGGGAAATGCTTACCATCAAGTCTGGAAATTTGATTGAGGCAGGATCCGTGCCTATCGAAAGTGTAGATTATCGTTCCGTGATATCGCCGGTCCTACTGTTCGACATCCAACCACTGTCATGCGAATATGGAATCAATGGATTGCTGAGGGTCATACTGAACGACATGCAGGATCTCAACGCCCTCCCATGATTAGCAACAGAGATGACACACGTATTGTGAGGTCAGCCTTGCAAAACCGTATAACCACATCACGGACCACTAGTCAGGAAGTGGGCATGTTTGCAGCTCGCCCAGTATCAGCTCGTAAGGTGCGTCGACGTATGCAGCAACGTGGACTATCAGCAGGGTGACCAATACTTCGCCTTCCTTTGACAATGCAGTACAGTGAGAGACGGAGACTGTGGAGACCAAACAACAAAATTGGGTACAGGAGCGGTACAATATCGCTTTTTCAAACGAGACCCGGTTCTGCATGCAGTATTCTGATGGCCGTATACATGTGTCCGAGGGGACCTCACGTCGGCTGTTTGCATTCGATATCGGAATAGGGGCCCTGCACCTGGTGCGATGGTTTGGGCAGCCATTGGGTACACAAGACGGCACATCTCTAGTTGGGATCGACGGTAATTTGAACGCACATGAGTGCATTTCTAACATTTTAGGTCCAGTGGTTGTGCCCTATCTTCGAGGATCCTGAACGCAGTGTTCCAACAAGATAATGCAAGACTACATGTTGCGCGTCGTATTCTGACTTTCCTTGATACACAAGGTATTCGATTGCTGCTTTGACTTGCACGTTCTCCAGATCTGTCACCCATTGCAAACATATGGCCATGGGTTGCTGAGAGACTGACCCGCCACCTCTCGCCAACTAATAGGGCCAATGAAGTGTGGCATAGACTTAAAGAAGCATGGAATGAGTTGCCCATTTCTGTCATCCAAGCCCAGTTTGACTCATGCCTAATAGGGTAAGGACCGTTTTAGCTGCTAGGGGTGACAGCTGTTTCTACTAATTTCACACCCCTGTAAACCTCCAAAATGCTTACAAATTTCATCATTTTGTCTTCATGTCATACTGTTTACGTGCAATAAATATCTTTTTTGTATTTTCTTTCCTTCATGGTGAGGCAATTTTAATGACAGCAGTGTATTTATCCCAGTTTTTCTTCATTCCTTCTTCCTCTCGGTTTTAGTATAGCTGCATCATGCATGGTAAAACAATCACTGAGAAATTTTTGCTGTCCCCATTCCTGAATACCTAAGGATCTTTTTATGATCCACTCTTGCCTTGATGCCCTAAGTACATGCTTATATTGTTTAATGGTTAATCCAGCGCTATCTTGAAACAATCCAGATCTTTTACGACGCAATGTTTTAGTGATCGATTTCCTGTAAATTTATCTAAAAGGGCGTTAGTTCCAATCAGATAATGACGTGAAGAATGCTGTACTGGCCATTTTCATGCAGCAAATAATAGATTTCCAACAAAAAAACACTTTTAGTTCAGCTCAAAACTGAGTCACTGCCTTAAAACTTGCAAATAAATTAACCACATCGGGCCATACAGCCCTCAGATCAGATGTTTTTAATTGCTCGTAAAGTATCTAAAGATTTTTTAACTCAATAATTAAAAATTTGATGGATTACATGAAAAGGAAAAGGAAGCTATGTGTCTTCTTCAAGTTCTGTTCTTTTTTACGTTATCATGAGATAGAGAGTTGGGTATAAAAGGTGCTATTTATATAAAAACTTTAGGTATAGAAATTTTTTTTCTTTGGTAGATACTACTCTTTAACCAATTAAAAATTTGAAGACTGTAAACTATTTAAAATTCCTTTTATCGAACGATTCTTCGGTGACTTTTAAATGCATCTGCATAAAGAAATTTTATTAATATAAATATTGATATATTTTATAAACTGTTAAATTAATTACTGAGATTTTAATGATATAACGTTAGTTATATTAAGAAAACGTATTACATACCTTTCACAGGTATAGGATTCTTTCTACGTGTACATTTTCAAAACTAATAGAGATTAAGTAATAAATAACTTGAATAATATAAATGTGAAAATATTATTTTCTTCAGCATTACTTTATTTTTTAAAAAGAAGTAAAGAGAGACATAATGAACATT